ATTTTATTAATTTATTTAACTTTCCAAAAGGTTTAATTTTTAATTTTGTGTTTTTGTCTATTGTTTGCATATTTCCTATTTTTAAAAAATTTCCTACAAATTTTATTAAAAATTTTATTCTATTCATTTGCAATTTGATTAACTCTTCTTTCTAGTTTCTGAAAGTGGAAACAGTTCACTAATTACAGACCACAAATTTTTATTTCTTTTTTTAATACAGTCATTCAAAGCTTAATTTTCCTCAAGTGATTCCCCTAGATTTCGACATACTGTGTTTTCTGATTTCCTGTCCAAGATTTCCCACCTACCTGCCCGCTGCTTTTAAAAGATGTTTCCACCAATGATCAAGTTCAGGGGCTTATGACTCCTCCCCCAAGCTTCCTCCCCCAAGCTTCCTCCCCCAACCACTGCTTGCTAGCTCTGCCTCAATTTGACCTTAATGTGACCCACCTGGGATGGCAGTAGTGAGCAGCCCGAGCCTCTGTCTCCAGCGGAAGAACAAGCAAAGAGCCAAGGCACAAGGGATTGCTGTTTCAAGTTCAAGTGCAACCCCAGTGCAGAGAGCAAAGAGCTAACAAGGTGTGTGCAAAATCCTGGGATCACGTGTTACAGCTGACCATGCCCCTGTTCTAACACACCCTTTTTTAACTGTGCCAGATTCACTCCTCAAGTTCTCAGGGAGCAGTGGGTCTTGCCGCCTAATCTGTGTACCATCCTTATGCTCCAGCATAAGCTCTAATAATTCTGTTCAGAGGCCACTGCTTGCCTCTTCTTCATGATTTCCATCTCAAACTGGGCACGAAAACTCAAGGTTAAACTGGAAATTCTAAAAGCTGGTAACTCAGAGACCTGACAAGACTGGTAAAAGGTTTTTAATGAATTGCATGAAATATTTAATACTTTATTACAAAATGCCCTCTGTGTCAGAAAGTTTTGCCCATTTATAGGCTAATGTAAGCGTTCTTGAGCATGTTTAAGGTAGGCTATGCTGAGGAATTATGTTCCGTGGTTTAGATACATGAAATTAATTTTTTGATTCATGATACTTTCAGTAAATTATTGATTTATCAGGATATTCATAACCTCATCTTGAATTGAGGACCATCATATATGAGGACTTCTTTTCCTATTATTCACTCAAATTTAATGCCATTTTCAAAGGAGAACAATCTCTGTGTGAAGCTGCACATTGGAAACATACTGAGATTTGTTTCATGGCCCAGCATATGGTATAGCTTAGCAAACACTTGATGTGCATTTTAGTAAAAAAATTGAATTCTCACTCATTTTTCCACAGGTCACTTAAGGCTCTGTCTCATATCGTTATCATCCTGAGACAGAGATCTGTGAGGCTGATTTTCCCATGTCACAGGAAAGGAATATCAAAACATCCACTGACTCCTAAAAATTCTACCTCAGATGACATATACTTGTTTCGTCCGCATTTTATCAGCTGCAAGAAAAGTAACAAGGCTATTCCTGATGTCAATCCAAAATAGATGCATAACCCTCCAACAAAAAATGAATAATTTCAACGTATATATAATCCATGACAAAGACATACTAGATTTATATGAGCTTTGGCACTATCTCCAAGTATCTCTCCAGTCACTCAGCTCTCTGCTTTCCCATTGCCCACACTTTTGTTCAGACCACTCTCAGTCCATCTGGATTGGTGCAAGGAAGCTTTTAATAGATCTGTCTGCACGGCCACTTTGGTTCCCTGACAGCAGTTATAGTATTCAACAAAAATCTGGCTATGCTATGCACTGTCTCATTATCTCCCAGGCCCTGCATTACAACCTCTTAATGGCTTCTCAATGCACTTAGATTAAAATGCAGTCTTTCAATGTGGTCTACAAGGTCTTGCAGAACACAAACTCCTATTGGCCTCAACTTCCCAGCTGCATGGCTCTTTCTGTGCTTTGATGGATCGATCTACTTACAGCATCATGGACTTTGCAAAGGCTGTTCCTGATGTCTGGAGTGCCCTTTCCTTTAGCTTTTCCCTGGCTCAGTTTAACAGCCAGGGTAGAGCACCGCAACTCTGCTTCTTATAGCATCACATCATTTATCATACTTTCTAGTGATGTATTTATTTGCATAGTTACTTTTTTTCTCTTGTATAGACTGCAAAATTGCATTAATTATATCACTTAGTTCAAGAATGCAATTATCTACAGTCTGTGCTTGACAAGTTTTTATTTTGCTTTTATCCAACATTATTGCTTCACCCCCTTTCCCCTTGTCACATTAGCTCACAACTTTAATCCACTTGAAGGATGTCTTTTCCAATTTCATTCTATATATCAACTTTTTAGACACACATATACACACATGCACATGATTTTTGTGTTTTCTGATCCTTCTTTTCCTCCCACAGCATCAAATATCTGAAATCTATGTTGTTAGGTTAATATAAAGTCCTTCCTTTCTGGTTAAACCCTCTATGGTATTATTATCACTTTACAGATGAAGAAAGCAAGATTCTGTGAGGCTGAGCAGCACTTTACATTTTCACAGACAGAGTTTTACAGGTTCCATGAATGGAACCTGGTTTTATCTAACCCTAAAAGCAGTCCTCTACACCTCCCTTTCTGTCATACCATCTTGCTATCACTATATCTTTTTAGAAACATAGAAATTTAATATTACAAAGGACAAATGGTAGAATGAAACTTAAGACCTGCCTTCTTCTCCTCCCATCCTCTTTTGCTTGAATTGCTATTCCCTAGACACATTGATCGCATTCAGTGTTTACTTTTTTGCCCTGATTTGAGCGTCCAGACTCCGTTTTGCTCTCCTGAAGATAAGTGCAGCAATCTACTGCAAACTTCAAGCTCCGTGCCAGCTTTAGCTTTGTGTGAAGCATTCCTGTTTGCCCCGGCCTCAAACCAGCTATTTGAAGTCAGCAGCGCTATTTACTTTCAAGCCTCCATTGTCAATAGATCAAGTAGAAACATTGATAACTCGATGCTCCAGGCAGCCTGCCCATCAGGAGCATCAACCTGATACATTTCTATGTACAGGAAGCTTTATCTCTGAAACCTAAGCAAACAACAATTCCTGATTTTGATCCAGAATGAGTATTAGTGTTGTCCACCTCTGCACTTGGCAAGGAAGTGAGGAATCTGTACAAGCATCTCTCTCGGCTAAAATAGGCTTTTAGACTGTCTGGTACTAATGGGCTTAGGGCTTAATGTGCATGAACAGCTTATAAGAACAAGGATGAGATTCTTGCATCATTGGTGAGAGTAGCAACCACTCTCTCTCTCTCTTTTAACAAGTATTTTTGAGTGTCTACTATGAGATAGGCACAGTGCTAGATACGGGAGACATTCGGGGTGGAGCACAGTGTCCTTGCATTCAGTGTATACATAGTCTACTCAGAGAAATGAGTGAAAAAGTGAATGAGGTAAAACAATCCCAGCAATGCTATGCATCCTCCTCCAGTGATTGAGATCTAACTCTTACCTGAGAAGATAAAAGTGGCAGTGCTGCCGAGAACAGAGCTGCTCCTGGTGGCCATTTAGATACATCTTGAACACCTCAACCAGCTAAGTGGAAGCGGATCATAAAGCTGTGGGACTGAGATTAATTGGTGAAGCTGCCTGTGTCAGGCATCATGGAAATTAATTCCCCAGAGTGTCCGAAAACATATTAAAACTTCCATTTCCTCAATGTTCTTAAGAAAAAGTAACTTGAGTGACTCTTTCTGCAACTTAGCAAGCCATATGAGATGATTCAGTGGGGCTATTATGTAAACCTAACCTGGTATTTATATACATTTCCTTGTCATTCTGATACCCAGGCTTCCAGGAGATGCTGACCTAGTATCTTTTCCTCTACTTCTACAGTCTTTCTAGGCCCCTCAGCAGCATCCTTTTCTGCTTCCCCATTCCTCCTCTCCCTATTACTTTTTTACCACTTACTAGAGCAGGCAAAGTTTTTAAATGAATATAACTCATATTTTTACTAGATAATTTCAAGTTGTTCATTTTAACAATTTATTTTATAAGGAAACATTATGTTTTAGAGACATAATATTACTTTCAGGAAGTTTTGTATTTGTTTGTTATTACCCTTTAATCCCTATTCTCAGTCTCCTTAGGACACAACCTACCTCTTCTAGGAGAAAACAATTAAAAACAGGCATGCCTAAGCCCAGGTCATTCTTTATGTTTGCATAGTTTATTTCAGGTATATATATCATATACCTTGCACTTGTTCAGTGTACAATTTGGGCAGCTGTATTTGCCAGTCATGTCTAGACCTACTTCTATTAAAGAAATTAATAAGAGTAAGTGGTTAAGCATGATACCTAATGAATGGATTGAATAAGAGTGGACCTAAGATTTCTTCCTCTTCTTATATCCCTAAGATTTTATGCCCTTGAAAGAAACAGCTCATGACTTAGTGTTGTAGATAGCATTGAATCTAGAAGGCAAGATTGAACATAAGAGCTCTAAGAACTGATCAGGAAGCATAAGGACACATATCATACTGAGCTGGTCCATATCATGTCTCCATATTTAAGTGTGTAGCCAAATCCTGAAGTTCTCAGCCAGACAAGAAAGACATGCAGGAGACAAGGCCAATGGTTTGGCTTTGGCTTTCAAAACCATTACCAAAGCGAATAAGTGGTAAGGAAGGCATCTCACTAAGCAGCAGTGTTCCCTAACCGTGGCCATGGCTGGATCACTTCTCTTTCTCATTAGGTAGCTCACATTGAGAGGAGAACTCTGTACTCTATGCCCTGCTGTCTTTCCTTCTTTCTATGTCTTCCTTTCAGAACATTAATGATCATCATTGGCATATTAAGCATTTGAAAATCCTGCAGTCCATAACATATTCTAGGTTTATTCTGCTTTCCCCACTGTTTCCCCCAAACTGGTAGGAGCATAAAATTGCTTTTTGCAGCCCACATATGCATATCTCACACACTCTCAAGTAATTGTCTGGACACCACTGACCCAAGTGAGGTGGTCCTACTTGCTTACCCGGTTATAGATCTCATTGAGCTGACAGTCCTTGTCCTTAGGTCACAGTGATGTGCAATAGGGTTCATAGGTAAAGAAGGGCAGCTGTGCTGGAAATAAGTTCTTTTTTGTGGCACTCACTTCAACACCAGCTAACTGTTAGAACCACAGCCGAAAATCAAAGGGTACAGATCAAAGTTGCAGAAAATTGTTAGAAAACTTCATGGTGGCTTGGCTTTTCTTCCCATCCTCTGTATCAGGCTTCATTCCAAAATCATTTCCTCCAGGCTGTACTTAACCCAGATGGGGAGCATCCCAGAGTTGGGAGCTGTCCTTCAAGGGGTGAGAGGTAGAGGTGAGAGCAATGAGAGAGTTACACAGAGCAGAGCATTTTCCTCTTCTGGTAACTATTATTGACCATTTACTCATTTTCCCATTTTTTTCCCTAGCTCTCTTTGCCTGTCTCCTATACCCAGTTAAACTTGAAATTTAATACTAGCCTTTCTAAATCTCATTCCTAAGGGTCCTACTTCAGTCCTATTACCAAGCTACTATTTTCCTCCTCCAGGGTTGAGAGCCTCTGCAGCCAGTAATATATATCATTATCTAGTCCCAGGCCATGACTGGTACTTTTCCATGCCTCTGGCTTCTTTTTTTGAAATCATCCTTGTTTTTCATGGGGCTGTGATTTTTTTTCCCAAAATGAATACAGGCCACGGAGAAAAAAAAAGAAGAAAGATGGCATCCTGTGGACCCAGGCATGCCAGCAACCCTGTAGCATCTCAAAAATGGAACGAAACGTATTGTTGTCACTCACTCCCTTAAAATTCTACAAATGTCACCCGCAACTCAAAATATTAATAACATTGTAATTAATCCTTATTTAGATCTCGAATTGTGTGATGCGCTGTATTGAGCACTTTAATCCTCACAGCAACCTGTAAAGTAGATATAATTGTTATCCTCATTTTATGGATAAAAAGACAGTGATGTAGGGTTTTCTAAAGAAACAAAATTAGTACTTGATAGACAAGAATTCAAATTAGACAGTCTGAACAGTAATTAGTCTTCAGCATTAGCAAATACTGTCTTAAATGAGAGTGAAGTATTAAGAACTTACCTTGACATATTTAGATCCTTCCAATGTATATCTGAAATTGCTTTCCATATACTTCACTCTTGCTTATGCATCCTACATCCATTCACTCATAGAATATTTACTGAACACCTCCTCTATGCCAGAATCTGAGCTAAATATCACATGATAGACACACAATTCTAGCAGTCTTAATCTGTCCATTCACTATAATAAAAATAACATAAACTGGGTAGCTCATGAAATATCAAAAAAGTATTTCTCAGAGTCATGGAATCTGTGAAGTCCAAGATCAAAGCAGACTCATTATCTGCTGGGGCTCATTTTCTCTCTGTAACCTCACATGGCAAAAGAGTAAGATCTCCCTAAGGTTTCTTTCACAAGGTCACTCATCTTATTTATAAGGCCTTGATCTCATAGCCTAATCACCTCCTAAAAACCCAACCTCATAACACTATCACCATGGGAGTTAGGATTTTAGCAGATGAATTTTTCTGTTTTGTACCAGGAACTGAACTCAGGACCTTGTGCCTGAGAAGCAGGCACAGTGCCACTAAGCTAAATCCCCAGCCCCCCAGCAGATGAATTTTAGAGGGACACCAATACTTACAATATGGCACTGGCTCTACACCATAAAAGTCCTACACATGTCTGGAATTTTATATGAACAGTGTCTTTGTTCTGTTATGAGCTTCCCTCCTCTTTCCATTTCCCTACACACTTCAACACTCAATGCAAATTTTTCTTTCTCTATGACGCTTTCTGTATCTCATTCATGCTCAATGCCTCTGAGGCTAGCATTGAAATTTGTGGACACTTCCTATATACTCCATAAGTGAGTATCATCTATCTATCTATCTGCCATCCCTCTACCTTTGTATTGGACTTTTGCCTAAAGACTTGAGCCCCTTCTCTCTAAATTTTCTACTTACTTAGAGAATGTCAGGCATATAATAAATATTCTAGAACTGAATTGATCTGCTACTTTAAAGTCTGAGATCGTAAACCATATTGAACCACCTAAGGATTTTTATTTGTGAAAACTTTTAAGATGACAATTTTAAGAGGTTTCCCAGATAGAAACCATCTACAAGGGTCTCTGGACTAGTAAGAATTCTCACCTACATACACACACAAAAAAAACAAAGCTTGCTGTTAGACTGAATGATTGTGTCCCCCTCAAAAATTCATGTTAATATCCTCACTTCCAATATAATGACATTAAAGAGGTCAGGCATTTGGAAAGTAATAAAGTCATGAGAATAAATCCTTCATAAATAGAGGTATGCAGTGCCCTTACAAAAGACATCCTAGAGAACTCTATCCCTCTTTCTGCCATAAGAGGAGACAAGGAGAAGTTGGCCAAATGTTTAGCTGTAAAGGTAACTTTGTTGATACTGTAGAGATTAAAATCTTTGGAGAATGTTGAGTTTGGCATCCTGGAGACCCTTAACTTCCCTCCTTTATGCATGTACAATTGGTTTAAAAGCAATAAAGCACCCCCTAAGTCAGGAAGAACAAAGTTTTCCCCTGGCTGATGCTGCTCCTGGGGTCTTTTGGTGGAGACTACTTCTTTCCTTGCTGTCTTTTTCTCTCCCATTTTGCTTCCTGGAGAAATTTCAGAGCTTACTTTTTATACACACCCTCTATTTAAAGAAAGTTTAATCATCCTTATCTAAGTCCCCAATGATTTCTAAACTTTCCATTCTCTGAATGCAAAATATAAATCCCTTATTCTAAAATATTCTTTATCCATTAGGAGAAGGATTATTTTGCTTGCTGATGACAGAAATTTAACTTAAATTAGCTTATATAAAAATAAATTTAACTGCTTATGTAATCAGAATACCCCAGAGGACTTTATCTGGTCAGATACAGTTAGATACAGGGTTTCAAGTCATCAGCAGCAAGATTTCTCTTCACCTCTTGGCTCTAGCATCCCCTGAGCCTTACTGTCTATACACACTCTCTTCCTGTGGTAGCAAAGGTGTTGATCAGCTGCTCTAGGCTTACACTGTCCCTGCAGACTTAAGTTGAGAGGAAAATGTATGGTTCTCTTCTCACTATCATCCACACAAATCCTTCACAGTGGTCTTTTGTGGGGATGTGCTTATCTGATTATGGACTACTACAGTTTGAATCTGTCTTGTCGTCTCTGGAACTCATGTGGAAGTCTAGACTTCACTGAGGAGGATGAAGAGGGTAGAAATTTAATCTGACTATGGAAGTTAGAGATGGCCCTTTGCGAAGTGGTAGAATTGGATAAGGTAACCATGGAGGAGCCTCATAATTGGACACTGGTGGCTTTACAAGAAGAGGGAGAGAGGGCAGAATACACACATCATGCGTGCTCCCTGGCTTCCATGGTGTGACACCTGTACCGCCCTAGGATTCTGCCAGCAAGAAGGCCATCACTAGGTAAACCAGAACCATGAACTGTGACCAGCCTTACCCAGTCTGTGGAACTGTGACATTTGTCAGAGTAAGCAAACCAATACATGGACGAATCACTGTATCCAAAGGGACTAAGCATAAGGTCGGTCTGTTGGCAGTGGCTCAATGATGCTGGCTTGTATAAAGCTGCCAAAGCCAATTCCATGCTCCTCTCCCCAACACTACACATAGAAATGTCATCTAGGTAGCTTGAAGTCAGTCGCAGTGGGACACAGGAGTGTTTCCACCAATGTAAAGACAAGAGTTGTACAACAGGACCTGCCTGTTTGGAAAAGCCAGTTATTGGCAGGAGATGCCTTTTCCCACCCTAGGAAATTGTTTCATGAATGATATCCCCACTAGTATCATGTGGAGTAGAGAAATTTCCAGAAGAGAAAGTATCAAAGGTAGATCAAAAAGTAGCTGGCATGTATCACATTTGAAGCTTTCTCTTTGTTTCCAGTCACAAAAGATAAATTCTGCTCTTTGGGGGAGTGAAAGTACATTTTTCCATGCCATTTCATGTGTACATGTCCCAAGAATCTACTTATAATTATTTTCAGAAAACAGGGAAAGGAAGGAAAGAGAAAGAAGACACTCTTGCCACTTTTAGAGCTTTTTCTTCCTAGAAGTGACTTGCTAAAGAAGATGAAGAACCATACAATTAATCTTACCCAAGAGAAGCACCACTCAACACACAGTGGAAGTTTAATAAGTATTTCTTGCCATGACCAATAGTCATTTTAGGTCTACCAGATGTGTTGCATGTGTAGGTTTTGTTGGCTGAAATAGAGCTAAGTTAGCACTATGTCGACTAAAAGAACATCTCCTCTTAAGATATCTTAGAATAGCTTAAGGTTCAAGAAGTTATGGAGATAGCAAAATACGTACTCAGAGTTATCCTTTGCTTTGATTAGAGTCCAGGGATCAGATGAAAAAGGCGTGAAACTTATTTGAAAATATTACTGCTGCTAAACTGTTTCCTTTCCCCTTCACAAGCGGAGAAGCAGATGACTCAGAAAATACACATACCCCATTATGACCTAAGAAGAAGACAATGAGGGAAGTCACATCCTCTTCTCTAACCCTAGATATAACTACCTGAACCAATGCTTGCTTTCCCACCAGTCCTACCATCCTAGGAATCTGTTTTGTCTGGACAAGGACAAAGATTACATCTATTACGTAAAAACCTAAATCCCCTAAGAACCCAAGCAGCTGTGCTGTTGAACCTCTCAATGGAAAACATAGATAGAAATGGCATGGAGTTTGGTGACATGGAGGAGAAGCTGCTCAGGAATTAACAGTCCAGAGGAGATAACAGTGATGGGGACCCAACATGCACACTGTATACATGAGTGGAAGAATTGTAGCACAGCAAGTAGTAAGATGTCTCTCTGATCCACCAAACAGCAGAGGGTCCAATAAAAGAAAGTGCCATAATGAATCACCAAAATTGGGAGGAAGCTCTGAAAAGCCTTTGGGATTCCCAAGAATATTAATAGGGGGAAATCTAGAAAATCAGAACTTTTCTGCTAGGAGATAGTGTATAAGAACTCAAAACACCTAAATTTGGGTGCTTATTGTAAAATGTGAGTACGGTTTTAATCCCCAGCCAGAGAAGACTGTGACATTTATTTAAAATCCACTACCACTTAAGTAGGTTTAAACAATGAAAATAATAATGGCATCCTCTATGAGTCTTTCTTTCCCGGTAATGAAACTTGATGCTGTACATTCACTTCCTTGTATAATTCCGTGTTAAAAGCCTCTTACTAGTTGCTTGGATTAGTACCTCTACATTTTTAGCATGCATCTTCCTTTACTCTCACCTCTGTTCTACATATGCTGAAACATGGTCATGTAACTATGAATATATGTCTTTTTTTCTTACCCCACCCCATAGTGTGTATTGAACCAGGGCCTCACAGATGCTAGGAAAATGCTCTACCACTGAGATTTACCCTCAGCACCTTTTTAAGAAATTTATTTTGGCATGGGTCTCGCCAAGTTTCCCAAACTGGCCTAGAATTTGTGATCCTCCCCTTTCAGCTTCCAGAGTAGCTGGGATTACAGGAATGTTACCATGCCTGGCTCCTCTGCTGCATAAGCCCTTATCCATTTTTTTAAAACATCTTGTTCATCCTGTAAGAAATAATTTAATTTTCAGCTTCTTCTAATCTCACCTCCTCCTCGACTCATCCTCAGTTAGCACTGGGTCCAGCCTCTCCAGTCTCCTTCGAAGTACCCCTGTAAGATTGTTACCACAATATGTTGAGTTTATACACATCTCACCAATGATATCACAAATTATTTGCAAAGTAGGGTTTTTTTCTGATCCTTTTCTACATTTCTGAAGCCTAGCATTTTGGGGGATACCTAGTAATCATTTACTAAATACATAATTGATTAGTTTAAAAATATGATGTTTTAATGCTTTGAAGATGTTGAAAACGCCACAAAAATATTTTAAAATGTTTAATGTTTTAAATAGTGATGTGTATCCAGACTTTTAGAATGCATGTTAAAATTTTGAATTGTTCACAAATGCCTATGTAAGGAGATAATATAGAAAACCTAGTTGTATTATGTTTTTTAACAACCATTCATCAAGCAGGAATCATGCCCCACTGTGGAGTAAAACACATTACCAAATACTATAATTAATTGATTCTAGATAAAGCAGACACATTGAATGGCTAATTATGATGTTCATGTCAACAGAGCAATGGCCATTCAGTAGATAAATGAGTAGGAAAATATCTCTTCAGCTACATGAGAAAAATATGACCAAAAAAATTCCAACTACACGAGCAATAAATCATAATAATTTACAAATCGTTTCAAATACCAAAAGTGCAGGATAATTTTTCCCAAGAAGAATAAACATTAAAACAAAATTACATTTTGGAAA